TTTTTTTAGTATAATACGTGTGTGGGTAGAAGTGAATCATTTACTGCTTGCAAACCAATGATGGTAAGATGATGTCATGGGGTAGGACTAGATAAGTCTGACTTCTTCCTACTCCATTCAAGCATGTACTAGGTATAAGCACATTGATATTGGATTATGTGTGTTGTCATATCAACTGTTTTTACATGCTTGAAAGAATAAATCAAATCAAATTAAATATCTCAGAAGGAAAAAAAAATCCCTATAAAAGCATTTTTCCATCAGAAATACACGTCACACACACACACACACATATATGTATACACAATTTTAATAAGTCGCAATTTAACTACTGCATCATATGCAGCTGTCTTTTATCTTTTATTTTTAAATGCTCAGAAATATGCTCCTGTCACTCTTTTGCATTTAAATAACAATGCTAATGTGGTCAAAATCATCACTGAAAATCATGCCAATTGGTTTTCTGACAGTCTACACACACACACACACACACACACACACACACACACACCATTTATATAAAAAAAAGAAATAAAAAGAACAAATTGTTGAATAGCTGCACCAAAGCACTGACTGACAAAATCCTTCGTGGGGTACAGCACTACTTAATTCAATGCATTTGATCAACCAAATAATTAATTGTTTTACTAAAAACCATACTATAGGTATGGTACTGGCACTAGTAACAAAACGTTTTGATACTTCATTCTATATGAAACATAAAGCAAACAAATAACAGCAGCAATTTTTCTGTTGAGATAGTACAGCTTGAATACACCTATCAGCAGCCTACATGTAAACATGTTGTCCTACCTGAACTGTCAGCCACTTTATAGCGACACATGTCCCCTTTTTCTCCTTTGGTTGTGGCAACAGCAGCTTTAAAGGCCTGGGTAACTTCTCTAAAGAGACGAGGTGTGGGTTCCTTGTTCATAGCAGCTTTCCAGTCTTCAATCATTTTGTCTGTGACTTTGATGGGCTCCAATCCCTTTTTGGACTTCTTTGAACTGTCCTGACCTTCCTCATCATCATCATCATCAGAGCTGGCCTCCTTACATGTCAAACATGTTAGCATTAATATCGATGTTTTCCAAGAGAACCCCTTATGCACTTTCACTCACACCCAGACACAAGCAGCTGGCTTACCTCCAGTCTGGATGGCAATCTGTGGTACTTTTTCTCATCCTCGGAGCTGTCTGTGTCATCAAAATTTAGGAGCGTTTGGTCGTTCTCTTGCAGAAATTTGTAGAACTCTGGATCTTTGTTCTTTAGCCTGGACAGTTGCTGCTTGTGCTCAGATGCCCTACCTTTCTTCTTTTCATCACTACACAGGAACAACACAAAAACAAAAAGAGCTGCTTGTCAGTCACCTGTTGACGCAGTCGCTTGTTGACACTATGTAAAAGTAAAAAATCCCAAAGCAATACACTCACGTTTTGGATGCCTCGGAATCTAAATTTTTCTTTTTGTTCTTTTTCTTGAAGCTATTCTGTGTGAGGGTTTCTTCTTCAGAGTCACCTTCACCTGTAGAGTCAAAGCCGGACAGCAGGAACTCATCCACAGTGAGGTCTTCTAATTTCCTACAAGACAATTCAGCAGATCAAGTATGCTAGCCAACATGTGGGGAAACATATACGCTACCTAGCCTTCTACACAAAGCTCACAATTCAAACTTTTCGTTGTTTGGCCTCAAAGCTGCTCGTAAGCTAGCCTGCTAGAAATATCGTACCACTCATATCATTAGTGTATAAAAAGTTTTAATGAAGGCAAATTGCTCGTAAGCTAGCCTGCTAGAAATGTCGTACCACTTATATCATTGGTGTATAAAAAGTTTTAATGAAGGCAAAACAAAGTGAACCGGTAACATTAGTATGTGAATTGCTTTAAAAAATCCCGAACAGTTAAGCTAGCGTTAAGGCACAGATAGCTAAGAAACAGCCGCACACCATGTTAGCTAGCTCAGACTGCATTAACAACAACAACTTTTAAAACCGACAAAACCTGGCATTATAAATCATAATAAACAATACATAGTAAAGAATATACTCATATACCTTTTCTGTTTCCCTGCCATGCTGAACCCAAAACGTGACACGACTAAACACACACCCACAATCCCCTGCGATAAAACGAAATGGTTGGTTGGTTGGTTTTATGTTTCACGGTTGCTACACTATGGCTACCTGGGTTTACAAATGTAGTGAAATAAGTATAGTTACTTTGATCCAACACTGTATAAACATCATTTGGCTTAGCTTTGGATATGTAGTGAAAGCATCAAATTGAATCACAGTTAAGAAATATTCATTTGGTAATAATTATTATATTCATATCAAGGGAACACGAGAACCTAAAATTTCACCACTAAGGATGTGTACAAGAACAAGCACTCTTTGGATGCAACACGTAAGATTTAAGTTAAATGATTTGCTGCATTCATAAGACACGAGTAACTAAAGATCGGCAGAAGAGGAAATGTCATTTTCCTGTATTATTTTGTCTGTTACGTTACACAACCACAAAGCTGGGCAAGCTTAGACACAGGAAGAAATCACTGCTGTCATATCAACACCGTCAACGGCTGGTGGTGAGTAAGCTAACGTTACTGGTTGTAATTCCTCTGTCAAGCAGGGCTAACATTAGCAAATGTAGTTAGGCCATATGAGCATGAATTAAACATCTGTAACGTTTATTTTATTTTAAAATGGGATCTATATACTATTTAACATTGAGAGTTGGCCGCTGTTTGATTTTCACTCTGTACTAACCGAAGTGGGGGTGATTCCGGTTCTTCCGACCAATCCTGGCGCTTCTCCATAAAACTCCGCCTTGCTCGCCTGCAAAGATAAATTTATCGAACGCACTTCCTGACTCTAACCAGACAAAAGGGGGCCCTTAAGGTCGCACGTGTCACGTCAAAAAGCACCCCAAACTGTTGCCATTTGTGTTTAATGAATAAAACAGTCATAATGATATATATTTCCTGACTGCCCCTTCTCTCCCACGGCGCCATATTTCAACAGTAGCATTCTAACTTCTATCACCGGCAGATCCAGTTCCACCTTAACAACACAATGTCTGCTTTCATGCAGTTTTTGCATTGACGTCAACCGCATACGGCACAAAACAGAGGCTTTCTTTATATTCCCAATGCTCGAGTGACAATATGGGTAGACAGTCTGACACCGGTCCCAGTTTTAAACCAATCTGACTGTGACAGCTCCTGCTTTATTTCCCATCACTTCGAGGAAGAGACTATCCAAGGGTAACCGCAACACAACCACCGGTACAGAAATGACATATCACTTTCTCTTATTGCAGCTGCGACAGCTTATAGCTACTGTTATTCAGAATAGGTGGAGTGGGGGTTGGGGTGTCTTCAGATCACATAAGGATGATATGCGAATAGAAACATGGCTCAGTCCACAAAAAATTACAGTGCAACATTTGTGTAGATATCCAACAAGATCGTGCGTGCTTGTCAAGGAGCCCCAGAATGAGAAAGAAGATTTTAAGTGACAAGCTGGGGGTGACCAGGACAAGGGCTTTGCTGTTTGGGTTGTCACATCTGCTCCAGCCTAATGTATCCATGTTTCAGTTTGTAGCATTGTTTCATGTTGTTCCCTTGGTCACAAGAGAATATTGTTTCCTTACAGAGAAGTATGGTTGGTGTGTTTTTGTGGTTGAATGTGTTTTGGAAAATGGGATCCAAAGCTGGTCACCAGGCAGCTGTGCTGACATATGATATGGTCCTCAGTGGGAGTGTGCAGAGTATTTAGCTGAAAGAGTACCTCTGAACAGATGACAACACTATTGTTATGCACTAGTGAATACTGCATTTGACTGGAGCAACGTGTAAAACAACTTGATCAGAATCAATATGTTGCTGTTTTTCAGCCTTTAGTGTAGCATTTCGTGGACTTAAGCCCGATCAATGTTCCATCCTAATGAGGCTGTGGTGGCTGCTTTGACGTGACTACCTTGTTATTTTCACAGAAAACTTGTTATATTTCCGAAAATAAAAAATGAATTTAAAATGAAAAATGCAAAGAACATCAATAAAGGGTAAAATCTGTCTACATCCTACTGTACGGCACACAAAGTCAAATAGGAAAGGTTATTTGTTATGAAACAGTAATTATACCCAGTTATGGACGACACAATATCAGATTAGAGAACCTTATTTTACACTTTTCAGTCCTGTCAGCTTCTGATCATGTACCCATTTTTCTGTCTTTGTAAGGTATCACTACATCTACTTCAGTACATTGGTTTTAGGCCTCTTTCTAGTTCTAGCCAGGTTCACCTGTTACAGTAGGTCCCATAATGCATCCTCAGTATTCATCAGACAACTTCTTAGATGCTGCGTGACAATGGTTATGCAAATGTTCCGAAGTGTATTTTCCATCCGAAAGAAGGGTGGATGAGACCACAAAGGAAAAGGCTAACTCAGAATACACCCTTCTCTCCTCAAACCCTATCTACTCCTTGACTGCAGCTGGGGTGGGCGTGGAGGTTCACAGCTAAATCTGGTGCAGTTATACTCACTAGTTAGGAGTCTTTGCAGTTAGACAAACCAATAGACGAAAAGCCTGCATTGATTTGATTCCAGTTTAAGTAATAATGGGCATAATTTTACTCACTCTTCCTGTTTGTATAAGGAGATCTAATCAGTCTTGACTGAGACTGTCAAATAACCAGGCCAGCCAACCTACCAGACTGTGTAATTACTCTATACTGGGATTTCTGTCATGGTGGTAGGCTTCTTGTCACAGCTATCAGGATAGGTACTGTAAGAGTAACAGCAGGCATAATGATTGCTCAGGACACCTGTCATAACACTTGCATCCCTGTAGATACACTTATCTCTTGAAGGAGGGAGATTTCTCTGGTGACAAAAGACATTTAAGGAGATAGTGGCATTGATATTAACTGATATGAAAACGGTTTTCCGTGTTTTTTTTAGTTACCCAGAGTGCGGCCCAGACAAGAGCCCACGACCATCACATCAGACACCATGATGGAGGGGGGCATGCAGCTGCTCAACCGCGATGGTCACAGCATCTCGCACAACTCAAAGCGACACTACCATGATTCCTTTGTGTCTATGAACAGGATGCGACAGCGTGGCCTTCTATGTGACATCGTGCTCCATGTGTCCAACAAAGAAATCAAGGCTCACAAAGTGGTACTGGCATCCTGCAGCCCCTACTTCCACGCTATGTTTACCAGTAAGTTCAGTCCATGTTGTCCTGATAACCAAAACCTCTTGACACAGAATTCTGCTGGAATACACTTATTGGAAAAGAATTCAGGATTTTCAAAAATTCCACAGTTAAAACAACTGATTAAATGAACAACAACAAATGAGCTGTGCTGACATTTTGCAGCAGCCCTGTATACATTAGGAGCTGCCATTTGTCAGCTTGATTGAATACGGAGGCAATTATATCAGCCAGAGCTTTCCTGATTATAACTCCTAGGAAAAATGTGACAGCTCTCGTTCTGTGCGGTCATGCAGATGAGATGTCGGAAAGTCGGCAGACCCATGTGACCCTTCATGACATTGACCCTCAGGCTCTGGAGCAGCTGGTCCAGTATGCCTACACAGCTGAGATTGTGGTTGGGGAGGGCAATGTGCAGGTAGTGTAGAACATTAATAAAAAAAACTTAAATTTGACTTTGAATTTGATTTCTATTTATCACAAAGTGCAAAAACACACATCAGTGTACATTTCCACCTGTAATTGGTCTCTTCCTAGACGCTGCTTCCAGCAGCAAGCCTGCTGCAGCTCAATGGGGTGCGGGATGCCTGCTGCAAGTTCCTCCTCAGCCAGCTAGACCCCTCCAACTGCCTGGGCATCAGAAGCTTCGCTGACACACACTCGTGCAGCGACCTGCTCAAGTCAGCACACAAGTACGTCCTGCAGCACTTTGTGGAAGTGTCCAAGACAGAAGAGTTCATGCTGCTGCCACTGAAACAGGTAGGGGTGATGCTTGTTCCCTTGCCTGCTGTGTCTTCTATCAAGTGGCACTTTTAAAGAAAGCTGTGGCATATTTAAGGTAAACAGTTGTTGGTAGAGCTGTCTACTGGAAACTGCTTCCTCTGTTTGGCAGTTATACTGGTAATTTGCTTATTGTGACATTTAGCTACGTAGTTATATTGTGTCACCAAAGAAAACTTGGGTATAAACAGTGATGGATGAAGTACTCAGATTGTTTACTTAAGTAAAAGTACCAATACCACTGGGTAAAAATACTCAGTTACAAGTAAAAATCCTGCATTCAAATTATTACTTAAGTAAAAGTACAAGCATAAAATATATTTAAAGTATTAAAAGTAAAAGTTCTCATTATGCAGAATGTTACAGTTCACATATCATATTATTGGACTATAATTGTTGTGTACATCACAATTAATATTGTAGCTGGTAAAGGTGTAGCTAACTTTAACTACCTTATATGCTTATATAGCTCATAGCCTCAGTTTACATAGTGACAACTGGCTGGAGTCATATTATTTAAAATATCTTTTAATACACCTATATAACATCATAATATCATTATCAGTGGCTCAGCTTGATTAATCCAATCAGTTGCTTAGAAATATACCACAGATACAGTAGACCTACAGTAATCCTAGGAAGAATTTAAGTTTGTTGCTACATATTGTTTAATACAGTTTTCTCACTGATATTAGCACAGTTTCCTGTTTCCAAAACAGTCATGTTTTTCACCACCACACAGATTCTGCAATGGAAGCTTGTTGTTGTGTTTTTGAAATTCTTTAGAAAATCTCTCTTCCTCTTCAGTCTTCCTACACCAGTCTCTTGTCTCTTCTGGTTTTATCATCTCACTGTTTCGCCATAGAATAATATTTGTGGCGCATCATCTTAGCTAAGCAATCACTCTGCTGGACTCAGCAGTGGCAGTGCTGTAGCTCCCATCCCACAAGTGGTAATTAGGCAAAGCCAGTGACATTTTCACAACTGCTGTACTGTTTATAGAGCTAATAGCATTGCTTTCTTCTCTGAGGTATCACTCAGGGTTTCTTTTTTGGTTCCACTAATTTACTGTTATTTATTCAGTCAGGGTTTGGGGGAGATTTTTGGTTAGATTGAGGCTAGCTAGTTGCTAGT